TGGTATGCAGGCCTCTCACTGTTGTGGCCTCTCCTGTTGCGGAGCACAGGCTCTGGATGCACAGGCTCAGCGGCCATGGCTCACGAGGCCCAGCTTCTCCGCGGTATGTGGGATCTTCCCAGACCTGGGCACGAACCCATGTCCCCTGCATCGGCAGGCGGACTCTCAAACACTGCGCCACCAGGGAAGCCCTGTTTGTTGTTTCTTGAAGTAGGACTGTATAGCTATAAACTTCCCTCTTAAAACTGCTTTTGCTGCATCCCATAGGTTTTGGATCGTCGTGTTTTCATTGTCATTTGTCTCTTTGATTTCTTCAGTGATCTCTTGGTTATTTAGTAACATATTGTTTAGCCTCTATGTGTTTGTGTTTTTTACATTTTTTTCCCCAGTAATTGATTTCTAATCTCATAGTGTTGTGGTCAGAAAAGATACTTGATATGACTTCAATTTTCTTAAATTTCCTGAGGCTTGATTTGTGACCTAAGATGTGATCCATCCTGGAGAATGTTCTGTGCGCACTTGAGAAGAAAGTGTAATCTGCTGTTTCTGGATGGAATGTCCTATAAATATCAATTAAATCTATCTGGTCTATTGTGTCATCTAAAGCTTGTGTTTCCTTATTAATTTTCTGTTTGGATGATCAGTCCATTGGTGTAAGTGAGGTGTTAATATCCCCCACTATTACTGTGTTATTGTCGATTTCCTCTTTTATAGCTGTTAGCAGTTGCCTTATATGTTGAGGTGCTCCTATGTTTGGTGCATATATATTTATTATTAATTGTTATATCTTCTTCTTGGATTGATCCCTTGATCATTATGTAGTGTCCTTTCTTGTCTCTTGTAACATTCTTTAAAGTCTATTTTATCTGATATGAGTACTGCTACTCCAGCTTTCTTTTGATTTCCATTTGCATGGATTATCTTTTTCCATCCCCTCACTTTCAGTCTGTATGTGTCCCTATGTCTGAAGTGTGTCTCTTATAGACAGCATATATATGGATCATGTTTTTGTATCCATTCAGCAAGCCTGGGTCTTTTGGTTGGAGCATTTAATCCATTCACGTTTAAGGTAATTATTGATATGTCTGTTCTTATTACCATTTTCTTAATTGTTTTGGGTTTGTTTTTGTAGGTCCTTTTCTTGTGTTTCCCACTTACAGAAGTTCCTTAACAACTATTCTAGAGCTGGTATGGTGGTGCTGAATTTTCTTAGGTTTTGCTTGTTTGTAAAGCTTTTGATTTCTCCATCGAATATGAATGAGATCCTTGCTGGGTAATCTTTTTTGTAGGTTCTTCCATTTCATCACTTTAAATATGTCATGCCACTCCCTTCTGGCTTGTATTTTCTGCTGATAAATCAGCTGTTAACCTTATGGGAGTTCCCTTGTATGTTATTTGTTGTTTTTCCCTTGCTGCTTTCAGTAATTTGTCTTTAATTTTTGCTAATTTGATTACTATGTATCTTGGCGTGCTTCTCCTTGGCTTTTTCCTGTATGGGACGCTCTGTGTTACCTGGACTTGGGTGGCTATTTCCTTTCCCATGTTAGGGAAGTTTTCGACTATAATCTCTTCAAATATTTTCTCGGGTCCTTTGTCTCCCTCTTCTTCTGGGACCCCTATAATGCGAATATTTTTGTGTTTAATGTTGTCCCAGAGGTGTCTTAGGCTGTCTTCATTTCTTTTCATTCTTCTTCCTTTATTCTGTTCCATAGCAGTGAATTTCACCATTCCATCTTCCAGGTCACTTATCCGTTCTTCTGCCTTAGTTATTCTGCTATTGATTCCTTCTAGTGTAGTTTTCATTTCAGTTATTGTATTGTTCATCTCTGTTTGGTTGTTCTTTAATTCTTCTAGGTCTTTGTTAAACATTTCTTGCATCTTCTAGATCTTTGCCTCCATTCTTTTTCAGAGAATGGATCATCTTCACTATCATTATTCTGAATTCTTTTTCTGGAAGGTTGCCTATCTCCACTTCATTTAGTTGTTTTTCTGGGGCTTTATCTTGTTCCTTCATCTGGTACATAGCCCTCTGCCTTTTCATCTTGTCTATCTTTCTGTGAATGTGGTTTGTGTTCCACAGGCTGCAGGATTATAGTTCTTCTTGCTTCTGCTGTCTGCCCTCTGGTGGATGTGGCTATCTAAGAGGCTTGTGCAAGTTTCCTGATGGGAGGGACTGGTGGTGGGTAGAGCTGGCTGTTGTTCTGGGGAAGAGCTCAGTAAAACTTTAATCTGCTTGTCTGCTGATGGGTGGGGCAGGGTTTCCTCCCTGTTGGTTGTTTGGCCTGAGGCGACCCAACACTGGAGTCTACCCCGGCTCTTTGGTGGGGCGAATGGTGCACCCTGGGAGGGCTCACGCCAAAGAGTACTTCCCAGAACTTCTGCTGCCAGTGTCCTTGTCCTCACGGTGAGACACAGCCACCCGCCACCTCTGCAGGAGACCCTCCAACACTAGCAGGTAGGTCTGATTCAGTCCCCTACGGGGTCACTGCTCCTTCCCCTGGGTCCTGATGGGCACACTACTTTGTGTGTGCCCTCAAAGAATGGAGTCTCTGTTTCCCCCAGTCCTGTCGAAGTCCTGCAATCAAATCCCACTAGCCTTCAAAGTCTGATTCTCTAGGAATTCCTCCTCCTGTTACCAGACCCCCAGGTTGGGAAGCCTGACGTGGGGCTCAGAACCTTCACTCCAGTGGGTGGAATTCTGTGGTATAAGTGTTCTCTGGTTTGTGAGTCACCCACCCAGCAGTTATGGGATTTGATTTTACTGTGATTGCGCCCCTCATACCGTCTCATTGTGGCTTCTCCTTTGTCTTTGGATGTGGGGTATCTTTTTTGATGAGTTCCAGTGTCTTCCTGTTGATACATTAACTTTTATTGTCAGGATAAATTGCATGTTTTAAAGATGAGTGATCCTTGTACTTTGTGTAGGGCCTTTCACTTTTGTACAGGGTTTGAAACTGTGCCTGGTTTATGGTGACTAAAATTACCTCTTGCTGTGTGGTGGCTTATATAGTAGTTTCCATCTCAATCACACGTTTTGTCTGATGATAAATTCCGAGTCCATTTGTCAGACCAGCCAGCTCTTGAAGGTGCAGGGAAAATGGGGATGGACCTGCAGAAGCCACTATCCTCTTTGTGGAAAGGTCTGCATAATTTCCCTTTAGAGATTGAACAGACGAACTAATTTAGAGTTTAGTAACACATTCTTTGTTGATAAATTTATTCAGCACAAATCTAGGCTATCTGTTCTAGGGGACTGAATGCAGCTTAAATAGCCACCAGAGGAAGCTCTCACTTGTATATATAAGACTTGCACTTTAAATTTTGATTTGCCCTCATATGGAGCAACCTTCTCTTTCATCATGTTGATCATGTCCATTGCCTGTTTTCTTTTTACTCCCTCTTCCTGATCACCTATAGGCTTGCTATACAACTCTTCAAGTGGTGGCTTTATGGAATCAATACTACACTGGGTTATTCCCAGCCCTTACGAAACAGGAGTACTACTGAATTTTACTACTTAAGAGCCAAAACTGGGGGCTAGTTTTAGATACAATTAAATTTCAAATCACCTTCAAACAGTAGTATAAATTTCTTAATGTCCTAAAATGTTTGACAGTACTGAAAAAAACCCCCAAAACACACCACATAATCTCTTCTTAGGTCTTGGAGGTGCTGTCTGTTCTAAAGCACCAGGAAAATCACTCTCATTTTCATTTTCAGGTTCTAATTTTTTTTTCTCATTGTTTTAGGAAATTTGGGGCTCAAGGATCACGACTTACGGGAGCAGGATGGGGAGGCTGCACAGTATCGATAGTACCTGCTGACAAGCTGTCCAGCTTCCTAGCAAATGTGCACGAAGTTTATTACCAGAGGAGCAATCGAAGCTTAGTGCCTGAGAAGCAGAGTTTGTTTGCTACCAAACCTGGAGGTGGAGCTTTGGTTTTCCTTGAGGCCTAAACAATGTAAAAAATCTCCAAGAAACTATTTAGAGTATTTAGGAACTGGCAGGACTTCTATGCCACAGCAAATTAATCCTCTTTCTGTTTTGTATTATGATGAATGGTTGCTATTATCAAGATGTATTTCGAAAGAAATGGTTGAAATCTCCCTATGCTTCATAATGATTATTTTTTCATCTTAAAATATGTTTTCTACCAATAAGAGCCAAAATTATGCTTGGACAGATGTCTTAAGATAATTTACTGGATGTATTGATTTCAAGATTTTTAAAAACAAATGGTAAAAGACCATCAATACTGACCTCATGGACTGTACTTGAATTAAACATACATTCTTAAATACAGTTTATTTCTGGTTTCTCTTGGCATTCTTCTTCCTCAAGGTTGAAGTCTTCTGTTATTGAAGATGATGATGATAGTGATGCCAGAAGTTTTCTCTCAGTTCGGGCTTTAGAACGCTATTAAAATAATACATTATTAAGGATTCACAGATTTTCCTGGATACTGTATACTTGAAAGTGAGATTCTCCCAGTTATCAAGATGAGGAGGATCACTTAAATTTTTTTTTTTTTCAAAAGATGGATTTAGGAAGAAAATCCCAGGCTCATTTAATTTTTTTTTAACCATGTGATATCATATAAACAATCACTTTCAATTCTTTTGGCCCTGAGCTTTTCTCTGTCATAACAGAGAAGCTAGATAAAAGACACTTCAACTTTTTATCTCTATTCACATTGACATAGAGAATTATCTGGATGTTAATTCAGATCAATTTGTTCATGGAATTTACTTTCTTCCCACTCTAAACTACCTTTTCTCAAATGCATCTCTAATCTAGGAGGCATGTTTACTATTCTAGGAAAACCCATCTGTGACTTGCATCTTCGTTGTGTGTCTAGCAAAGCTTGTTTGTATATGTGGACCAATGTAGGGCAGGTGTGAGGCATGAGGGTGAAACTATGAAAAGGCTGAGCGTGGGTTCTGGGATTGGGTAGGAGTATTGGTGGGTGCCTGTATATGTTTATCAAAATGGGCAGAAAGTTTGGCCATGTGGTGATGGTAAATGAGTGGCTCTCTCTCACAGATAGACTACAGGAAGGCTTTCCTGAATTATATGAAGATTAAGGCTGAAAAGCATTTTGTGACACAGTCAGATAATTGAGAGACCAGCAGTCATGTGGCATGAATTATCCAGAAGTTTATCACAATTTTCTATTATTCTATGATTGAGTTGCACATTAATGAGCAAAAAGACTGGATATCATCATCTTGAATCTCAGTTTCAGAGAAGCTGAAGCAAAGCTGGTTGTTACATTTCTCGAAGGACAGCAGTCATATAAAGTACTAGGAAATCCATTATTCTATTCTAAAATAAAGTTCTGGTGCATTTTCATTCTTAGCAGAAAGGTAAGTACTTGAGAAAGCTTAAGTCCAATTTGTTAATTTTGAATTTTAAAAATTGATTTCAAATGATAATCCTTTGCTTTTTAAACCCTTTCCATTTTCCACAGAAGATCTGTGGTCAGTTGATGTATAATTCTTTGAAGATGCCTGGATTACTGTAAAAAAAAAAAAAAAAAAAAACACTTGCCTTTAAATTTTTCACCTTGAGATACCTTCTTTACAAAATAGGTAAGTAAACATTTCTAGTGCACACTCTGCTTTGGAGGACATAGTTGTTCTAAGCCAGAATCTACTCCCATATTTGTCTTGCTGTCTGGCTTGAAGAAAAGAACTATTTTCCAATGAAGCCATCACCAAATGTTATTCTAGAAATTATGAGAGATATCGAACTTGCCTGGAAAGGATGGGGCTAGGGCCACTGGAAAAAAGCTTCATGTAGAAGATGCGATTTGAGCAGGGCCTTAAAGGATGAATAGAATTTGAAAGCTGGGGAGTAGGCATGGCAGATAAGCAAAGTGTATGATTATGGGTAAACATGATATGCTGGGAAGACTCAGTGGGAGTGAAGGGTTTGACTTGGGATATAGTGGAGAATAAGATTGGCTATACTGGCTGGAGCCAGCTTTCGAAGAGCTCCAAGTCCAGCATTTAGACCAGGGGACTCGTCTGGCCTGCAGATTTATTTAGTTTGGCCTCTAGGGGTATTTAAAAACTTGAGTCCTAAGCAGGAATTTTACAGAAGAATCTGGATTGCAAATGGTGGAAGATCTGATAACACTGTGGCCTCTATTCCTGCAGAGCCACAATGAACAAGAGGTGCGGAAGTAGTTGCCTTGTTTCACTGAGGCACAGACTCTCCAGTGTGCTATGGTGTCCATAGCTCCTGTAGTTTCGCTAAGACTCAGGCCATTTACTATTTACCAGCTGAGGTCACTTGCCCTTTACCAGTACACCTGCACAGTTTTCTTATATTAAATAAATATTTCTCTGTACCCATGTCTCTAGCAGTAGCAGTTAAGAGAGACCATGAAAAAATGGGAGAAATAATTTTTTGTGTGGAATAAAGAATAGTACTATTTATTTAATATTAAACACCCAATATTTGTTTAATATTAAACACCCAACAATATTACCCCCTTTCCATTACGTTTCTGGCTCATAGGAATTTGGTTAGATTATTTGACCCCTGTTTTTGACATTAGATCAGTAGCCAGTGAGGATTACTCTAGATTTTTGCATGGAAGCCTGACATGCTGAAAATGAAAAGCTCTCTCTTATTCCTTACCTCAGATTGTCCAATCTTCAGATTTACTGTACACTATTTTCTACATGTTCTTTCTTGTTGGAAGGGAGGAAGGACCTTTAGATTTAATAGGACTGCCTGTAAGTTAAGGTGGAGCAGAAGGGAAGGGGACAAAAAAACTGGAAAGATGGGACCATGTCCTTCCTTTTCTTTCTTTCTTATACTTGAGTACTGTTTAGAACCTTATCATGTCTTACATTTCTGTTAATTGAGGGCAAGAATCATTCATCTAACACAGTAGTTGGAATCCAATATATTTTTGTTGAATTATTAATGGGAAATAAAATATGACTTCAAATACCAATAATTTTCTATTAGTTTGAAATTCTGCATTTGGAGGTTTTCAGTTGCCTAAAATGCTTCTGGTCAGAAGCAAGGGATGGGGATGAGTGAGCATGAGGTTGTCACTAATACATGAGAGAGAGATTACCCTAAATGTGCATGTGGATGATTAAATAACAAGAATGTATTCCATCCTGCCACTGTAACTTGGATGTGAAACCATACATTGCTTATTAAATATTTTCCAGCCTATATAAGAGAAGCTAGAGAGAGAATTCTCAATTATTTTCAGAAAAAAACTTACCAGTTTTTGTAGGAAATTCTCAAAATCATTCTTAACTTCGTAAGGTTTCTTGGTAGCCTTTGCTTGGAGCCTAATCATGAAAGAAAGAAAATTGGTAACCAAACTAATTGTTTTTATACTGACACCAACTAAGAGCCACGATTTACGAAGTTTAATATGCTGGGCATTTACTCTGACAACAATCTTAGGAAGTAGGTACTACTATTATCCTATGTTATAGATGAGGAAAGAGGCTCAGATAGGTTAACTAGACTGTCCACAGTCATACAGCTAGCAAGTAATAGAGGATCTGAACCCAAGTGTGACTTGCGCCCTCTATTCTAACTACTGTGCGACACTGCATCCCAGCAGTGAAGCATCCTCTTCAGTGAGATGGTTCATACAGTAAGTATTCCCTCAACTAATTCCACTCACTGGGCTCCAGTGCAGATTTTAAGATGAGTCACTGGGGAGGGAAGAGGAAAAGGGACTGGCCTGGAAAATATCTGGGGGAGAGAGAGAAAGAGAGACGGAAAAGGATAAAGGGTGAGGGGGGCGCTTACTAGACTGTAAGCTCATCAAGGGTGGGGATCCAGGAATCTATCATGATTTCTGTCACCACGTACTCATTCAAGAAATATTTTTAAGGAGCTGAATAGTTGAATTGAGGAGGCAGCAGGAAACTTTCCATAGATCTACGGATAAAGACAGAAGCAGAGGTAGGCCAGGCAAGGAACGATAGGAACTTGGGACAAGGGAGAGACAGCAAGAGAAACACAGAAGAGAGAAAGAAAAATGAAAAATGGTATAAGACTATTGATTTCACTGGCGATTTTCAAGTGAAACATTTGAAATTATTCTGTGAAATCTGTAGGAAGTGAAATTTTCTAAAAATTCCAAATACACTTTGCTGAAGCATGAACTTTGGATTAGCTAAACCCCTATAAGGCCTGCTCTAGGTTTCTCTAGCATTTAGCCTAGGGGTCCCCTGAGGGCACCCAGTAGGACTACCTCTGAGGGGCCTCTTGCGTTAGTGTTCTCTAACAAATACTCCCTTACTCTTTCTCTACTTTATCTCTGCCAATTTTATCTCCTCAACCTAGGTTTTCTCCTCACTTCTTGCTACCCTTTTGGACATTCTTCCCTGCTTTTCTAAAATCTGGCTCTGAGTCTTTTCCTCATAGTCCTATTTAAATATCCCTGGTGCCCTTTTCTCAGTAACACACTCTTAGAATCTTCTTGACTTCAAGTCATCCTGAGACTGGTTCATCTCACTTTGTTAAAATCAGTCCATCTTCCAACCCACTTTTATTTTTTTAGAGTAATTGTATTTTTTATTGTATCATGTTTTTAAACATCTTTATTGGAGTATAATTGCATTACAATGGTGTGTTAATTTCTGCTGTATAACAAAGTGAATCAGTTATACATATACATGTATCCCCATATCTCCTCCCTCTTGCATCTCCCTCCCACCCTCCCTATCTCAGCCCTCTAGGTGGTCACAAAGCACGGAGCTCATCTCCCTGTGCTATGCAGCTGCTTCCCACTAGCTATTTTACATTTTCCAACCCACTTTAATTTACAGTTCCCCTCTTCTTTTGTTTTTAATAACAGCTTTGTTGATATGTTACATAACCTAAAATCCACCCTTTCAAAGTATACAATTCAGTAGGTTTTAGTATATTCACAAAGTTTTGCAAGCGTCACCACTAGCCAATCTCCCATCTTTCTATCTTTCCTTTCCATGACTATCTTTTTTTGAAGATTACAGATAGAAACTTGGACACTGTGCCTATAAATTTAACAGGCATGTGGGAGTTATATACCCAAATGAGTATTTTCCCCTTCACTTTCTCCAGCAATGTGCCATCGCATAAAACATATTTGAGTGCTTCTTGTGAGTTGCTCTGAAAACCAGTCTGCATACTTTTGCATATCTTGAGTGGTGAGAAATCCTGTCCTCTATAGATTTGATTTTTGGGAACTTGTAAAAGTCATCTGGAGTCAGATCTTATGTTGTGAAGGGAAAAGCTGGGTGATGAAATTTTTAGTGAAAAATGAAGTAAGATTTTAAAGTAATGAGTTGAATTTTCTTATGTGACTGGGAGACTAGCTTTATAAGTTCCAAAATAGCAATTAGAACTATGGCAGCATGACTGGCACAAAATTGTGGTTTCCCACAGGGGTTTATTTGAAGGGCTGTACTCATCTGACATTTATTCTTGCCTATGTGGATGTACTGGAAGAAGTGGGTTAGTCCCAACACTTTATAGTTTTGTTTTTTACACTATAATAAAATAAACAAATATGCCCAACTTTCCTTGTTTCAGTGGGGTACAATGTATGTATAGGGGAAGCAGCAGGGGCAGAAAGGGACAAAGAACTAGCCTGAGACCAGCTAAATAGGTTGTTTTTCTAGTTTACATCTTCCCATGGTTATGAGTCTATATTTAAAAGGTCCTCAGCTTAAGTCCTATGTCTGGTAGAGTAAAAGGAGATGATGATAATGTTTAGCAATTAATTAAATTAGAGTAAGTGATTATGTGGATAAAAAAGTGTTACTATAGATGGACTACAGAGTAGAAAACTTCTGCAGATATTCCAGTTAATGAATTTTTACATATTAGACCTATTGTGGTTTATGTAACTCATTTGTTCAATTAAAATGTTTTTAAGCACTACGAGTTGAATAAGAAACAAACCTATGAAGCTCCTTGTCAACTCTTTCCTGTCGCTGTCTTAGGAGTTTTATTTCTTCATTAATTAGGTGCTTTTCTCTATAAAGTCAAAGTTTGGAGTTAAATTTTAAAATAAAGCAGGCAATTCTCATTGAGAAAGACTAAATCAACAATTTGCTGCCTTCCACATATCAGTAAAGGTCCATTACAAAACAGTTCTTCAGCATCCCCTCCCAATGCACCACGTGGTATGAGGAATCCCCCAGCACACTGCCCCTTATAATCGTGTGCCAAAGGCATCACCCATGTCAGCTGAGTACAGCCTGGACTCCACCTTGCTGTTCCCACATGGGCCCTCTTACAAGGTGCCCACCCCTGTTCTTCCCACTGAAAATAGGAAATCTGAGGGCTCTGTGTGTGTGTCTGTGTGCATGCATGCGCATGTGTGTATGTCAGTGGGAGGGGAATGGGGCCCCGGGGAAAGTAGAGGCTCAGACTTCTGTCCTGCCTGCTGGATAGGATAAGGCTGGCTGCTCTTCTGTTTACCTCTCTTTGATGTGTTCCTGGAACAGCATCAGGTACCCAAAGGGTAGGATGCCCATCCTTTCTCCCCTTTAAGGCAATAAGACAGCTAGGCAGTGACCTTGATATCACAGACAGAAGAATTGGACCCTGCCAATTTGTCCTCATAAAAATCGATGGACATCCTCATTAAGCCATTTCTCGCTTCCTGGCACATAAGAATACCATAACTGGCCAAGAGTAATCATTTTAGTTAAGCACAAAAAACTTAAAATGTTTCCCCAAGAAAACGTTTCCGAAAAGAACTCCTTGCCTTGCTTTCCTCCATATCACCCCTGCTGCCACCCCAGCTACAAGGAGCTCCTTCTATTACAGACAACCTTTCTGTTCTTCTTCCAGGGCTTAACTTTGTAAATGAACAATACTCCAATCTCTCTTCCTGGGAACTCTCTCCTGGTCTCTCCACATTGGGGTGCATCCCCCCACCCAGACCACAGGAAAGCTTCCTTTCTTTTTTCAATCCCTGACATGTGCCATGTCTCCATGGTTACAACATACATCCTTGACACCTACCTGAAAAGAATCTCCGAGTCTATAAGATGCTCAGAGGCGACTCTCCTCGTCGGTAAAATAAGAAGGTTAGTTGTAGATAATTTCTATGATTGCTTACAGCTCTAAAGGATTCTATGATTTTATATTTATCAATAGTATGGAGTCAACTTACATTCTAAAATCCTTTTGGTTGTTTGCAAATTGTCTTTTTGCCTCCTTCAGAATATCACAATAAGTTGGAGCAGGTGATGTGATAGGCTTATGGTTAAGGAAAGATTTTCAACTAGGAAAAACTTGAGAGAGGTTAACAGTATCCTTCACAGGGGGACTCAGGGAGCCATCTTGCCTGGGCTTCCCAGTCATGAAGGGTCTCAAGTATAAACACGAATATTATGTCTGGCATTACACTGAAAGGACCAAAAGGAGACAATACCCATCAGACTACTTTAAACTTATATCCCATTATCTGGACCACACCATCCATAGCACACAAGGACTTAGTAGTTTCATAAATCCCATAATTACTATTTTCATGTTTTTTTGGTGTGCTTTACAGGCAGCGATTTGTTAAATGTAAAATTAAAAATGTACATTTTGTAACTCTGTTTAGACATTTCTTCATTTCTACAGTATACTGAGAACTTCAAACTCTCTTGACTTCTGAGAGGCTCTGGAGGTGACTGGCAGCATATGTTGGCTGCCTCACTTAGCCCGAACTCTGCTAACAGCATGGAAAAGGATGATAGGCAGAAGATAAAAATGTTCTGCTAATGTGGCTGGGGCTCTTCTATCTGTTTCTGGTACAGCCTGTGGCTGTGTCCCTAACGCTGGTCTTAACCCATGTCTGTGTCTGGAAAGCAGATGCTTCCCTGTGAAGTGGCAACTGGTAAATGACTCAAGGAGGCAGCCCTCATCTTGTGTTAAGACCTTAGCCTCGTTGGTAAACTAGAAGCTCTTAAACCGCTGCAGTCACCAAGATGCAGGAATGAGTCTGTCCTCCCATGGTCCCACTCTACAACCTGAACCACACTTCAGTATTACCTCCATCTTTCTCTGAATGCAATTTGCTCATTTAAAACACATTTATGCTCCCTTCAAGGATGTCCTTGATGCTCATTTTAATCTCAATTATCTGGTATAAGAATGTTAGGAAAAGCTCAGTGGATCTGGTCCCTGGGACAAGACCACATAGGCACTTAACCCTATGACCTTAATTTCCTGAGTATTATATCTCAGTTGAGATAACCAGAAGGAAAAACATGAATGTCTCCACAACAAAGATTCTCACAATAAACTCGAATAAAATTTATGTCTTTCCTATGACACTCTAAACTACTCAGAAAGTATCTTCAATCACTTATAATTTGAATATTAAGGTCTTAGAATCAAGGAAAAGAACATTTGTTTTCTGTACACTCCAGATGACTTTCTCAGCAATGCCAGGGTGATAAATTCTCTCTGCCAGCCATAGAACCTGTTTAAGAAGGTTCCTTAACAGCATCACTAAGTTGCTGGGAAGCAGTGTTGATAGCAGACCATACCCCATCCTACTAAGCACAGAGTTTGCGAGGGTCTGGATGATTATGTTATCCTGAATAGGATAGGAATTCTCTGAAATAGATTTTACAGAGAAGTCCGCTGCTCTTTATGATGGATTCCAAGTTTACTTTAACCCCTTCATCACAGCTAGGTTTTAGAGTATGGTTTTCCTTATAGAAAGAGATAAGCCTGGAGGGGGATCAAGATGGCAGAGGGGAGAATGTGGAGCTCACCTTCCCCCACAAACACATCAAAAATACATCTACATGTGGAACATTTCTCACAGGAAACCAGCTGGAGACTGGCAGAAGATCTCCTATATAACCAAAGCTGCAAGAAAGATCTCCACATAACTGAGTAGGATGGAAAAAAAGGAATCAGGACAGGACTGGTGTCCCTGGGAGGGATCTATAAAGGAGAAAAGGTCTGCGTGGGCAGACCCTGGGGAGCCCCCTTGCCTGCTGTGAAATCCGCTGGGACAGATAGAGGGGCTGGAGAAGCCCAGACTCTACTTGTGAGGAGTGCGTGTGTGCTGGCTTGCTGACAATCAGGACAGAGAGAGACCGGCAGCTGGCTTGCCACACTTCCCAATATCAGGTGTGCATTGGGCAGGGCTACAAATACATGCAACGGCTAAGTGCTGAATCTCTGGCAGACAGACCCTGGGAGAGGACTCGATCTAGCTTAGTGGAGATAGCTCGGAGGGCCTGGGGTATAGTCTGGGCCAGACTGCAGAGCTCTTTGTCACTGCTTGCATGGCAGGGGTGAGTCCAGCTGTGGTGGATTTTGTCAGCACCTGCAAAGGGTGATGCCACAGAGATGCTCAGGGAGTGCTGAGTCTCAGATGGAGAGCCCCTGGGTAGAAGTATGCAGTGGTTGGTTTCCCAAAGGGAGTTCACTGGCTCTGCCCACCCCAGCCGCAACTTGGAGCAGCATCTGGCACGGACAGGTCCTGGGAGAGGTCTGGCACAGAGGCAGCCTAGTTCTCAGGCAGCACCACAACCACCTTGATTCCTGCAGCCACAAAGCCCCAGCCCCCAGCACCAGCCCATTCCACACCACAGCCTAGCACTAGGTCTGGGATGAACACAACAGGATAAGAGATGTGGCATTTGGCTGCTTCTAGATAGAACTGCAGATGTCTGCATGGGTAGTGCATAGATTCACTGTGATGACACGGGCCTCAGTTGCTTCATCAGTCACCTCCTTTGGAGCAGGTCATGCACTCAAGGTCAAAGGAGCCTTAGTGAACCTGACCCTCAGGGCTTTTACTCTGACAACTGGGGAGCAGACACCACCGCTGACAGGGCTGTAACAGCCACGCAAGGAGGAGGTCCCACCCAGAGCACAGGCTCTGGACACCACACCAGTTACTCCCCTATCAAGGGGATAACAACTAGCACACTCTGAGGAAAGATGTGGCTGGTACCCATACTGAAACCAGCCCTTGCACCAGAATATTGGATTCACAGTCTACACAGGGATGCTTCCAAATAAAAATACCCCTTCAAGACCACAGTAGATAACTGTTTCTCCTAAATTCGTAGAGACAGAGAAAGTTAAGTAAAATGAAAAAGCAGAGAAACTACTCCAAATTAAAAGAAATCCCCTGAAAGAACAAATAATGAAACAGACCTCACCAGTCTACTATACCCTGAGTTCAAAAAGGAGGTAATAAAAATACTGAAGGAATGAAAAGATTGATAGGAATGCAGATCACTGTAGTAAGGAACTAGAAAATATCAAATCAAAATCAGACAACTCAGTTAGTGAGATAAAAACCAATCTAGAAGCAATGAATATACTAAATAACACAGAAGAATGAATATGTGATCTGGAGGACATACTAACGGAAATCACCCAGTCAGAAGAGCAGACAGAAAGACAAATGAAAAAAATGAAAGCAGCATACAAAATCTATAGGATAATATAAAGCATGCCAAACTATGCATAAGCTGGGTTCCAGAAGGAAAAGAGAAAGAAAAGGGGATTGAAAGTGTATTTGGAGAAATTATTGCTGAAAACTTCCCAAACCTAAAGGCAACAGATATCCAAGTACAAGAAGCACAGAGGATCCCAAACAAGATGAACTCAAACAGATCCACACCAACACATATCATAATTAAAAAGGCAAAATTTAAAGAGAGGATTCTAAAAGCAAGAGAAAACAAAGAGTCAGTTGCGTGAGAACCCCATACGGCTATCAGCTGATTTCTCTGCAGAAACTTTGCAGGTCAGAAGGGAGTGGCATGATATATTCAAAGTCCTGAAAGGGAAAACCTGCAACTCTACCCAGCAAGATTATCATTTAGAATAGAAGGAGAGATAAAGGATTTCTCAGACAAGTGAAACCCAAAAGAATTCAGCAATACTAAACCTATCCTAGAAGATATATTGAAGGGTCTTCTCTAAACAGAAAAGAAACAAGAATCTATAGGAAAGGGACAGTCACAATAGAAAAGGCAAATATATAAAAGGATTGAAGATCACTTAAGCCAGTACATAGATTAAAAAACAATCAAAATTTTTTTGTGAAAGTGATTATGACTACAATTAGCAGCAGAAGGATAAGATGTAAAATAGGACATCAAAATCAAAGAATGTGGAGGAGTGAACTATAAAAATGTGGATTGTTTAGAGTGTGTTTAAGCTTGTATGAGTATCAGTTTAAGGCAAATAGATATAGTTAGGGGTCAACATACTTGAAAACCAGGGTAACCACAGATCAAGAACATACCATAGGTTCACAAATACCAAAAAGAAAGGAACTCAAGCATAATACAAAAGAACCATCAAAGCACAAAAGGAAAAACAAAAAGAAGAAACAAAGAACTACAATACTGACAGGAAAACAAGGTTTAAAATGGCAATAAGTACATACCTATCAATAATTACTTTAAATGTCAATGGAACAAATGCTCTGATCAAAAGACACAGAGCAGCAGATTGGATAAGAAAACAAGAACCTACAATATGTCACTTACAAGAGACTCACTTCAAGGTGAAAGACACACACAGACTGAAAGTGAGAAGATGGAAAAAGATATTTCATGCAAATGGAAATGACAAGAAAGCAGGGGTAGCAATACTCATATCAGACAAAATAGACTTTAAAACAAAGTCCATAAGGAGGGACAAAGAGGTACATTATATTATGAAAAAGGGACCAATACAATAAGAGGATATTATACTCATTAATGTGCATGCACCCAATATAGGAACACTGAAATATATAAAACAAATACTAACAGCTATAGAGGGAGAACTTGACAGGAATACAACAGTAGGAGTCTTTAAAACCCCACTGACATTAATGGACAGATATTCTAGACAGAAAACCAATAAGGCAACAGAGGTCCTAAATGATACAATAGACAAGGTGACCTTATTTGATATCTACAGGACCCTACATCCAAAACACCCAGAATACACATTCTTTCCAAGTGTGCATGGAACATTCTCTAGGATAGACCACATATTAGGTCACAAAACAAGCCTCAACAAATTTAAGAGGCTAGAAATTAGTTCAAGTATATTTTCTAACCACAATGGTATGAAACTAGAAATCAACCAGAAAAAGAAAAATGGGAAAAGAACACATGGAGACTAAACAAGATGCTATAACAAACCAATGGGTCAATAATGAAACCAGAAAATACTTCAAGACAATTGACAATGAAAACACAACTTTACAAAAACTGTGGGATGCAG